GATGGATGGACTTCTAATAGAATTCTGCAGACCAGCACAAAAAAGTAATCAGAATTCAATGTAGAGATGACTGGACAACAGCCACTTGAAGATAATCTGCAATTTTTATTGCGATGTTGACATGTTTCAACAAACTGGCTATATATAGGTGTACTGTGAGTGGTCATAAATATATATATATTGTTTCAACTAGCAACCACATCTCGGAAAATCCTCTTTGACTATTGCACTGTCACTGTGCAAAGCAATTTATACTATATACATGTATACTTAAGAGTTATAGAGAACTTCTACTGTTATACATACAAATGTTATGCACCAGGACATTTTTTGCCAAGTCAAATTTTTGCCCTAAGTTGACGGTAAAATCCATTTTCGACCAATATCAATTTCACCCTCACATTTAATTACTACTTATATTATGTTGTTTACTAATGTTCAACCTCATTACGGAGGGTAAAAAAAGCAAAATTCAACTGGTGCGAAAAAGTCCCAGTATACAGTAATTAAATGATGTGTTTGAGAAATTAAAGGGTACTAACACAGGGGCATGGATCGCTTTACTTGTAATATAAAAAAATAGGAAAAATAGGGGTCTCCTATACTAATATATATTAGCATAGGAGACCCCTATTTTTTTATATTACAAGTAAAGCGATCCATGCCCCTGTGTGCTAGCTGTCTATGGCCAGATCGCGATCAAAGTACTTTATTGTAGCTATAGCTAATTTACATTATGCTAGCTGTCTATAATGGCCAGATCGATGTACTTTATTGTAGCTAATTTACATTGTTTGCTAGCTGTCTATGTCCAGATTGAAGTACTTTATTGTGGCTAATTTACTACATTGTATGCTAGCTAGCTGTCTATGGCCAGATCAAAGTACTTTATTGTAGCTAATTTACATAGTATGCTAGCCGTCTATGGCTACTGAAGTACTGTATAATATCTAATACATTGTATATATATGCATCTGGCTGTTTTTGGCTAGGGAAGTACTATATTGTAGCTAATACGTTGTTTATATGCTAGCCGTCTTATAATGGCTACTGAAGTACTGTATTGTAGCTGATGCATTGTATATATGCTAGCCGTCTATGGCTACTGAAATACTGTATTGTAGCTGATATATTGTATATATGCTAGCCGTCTATGGCTACTGAAATACTGTATTGTAGCTGATATATTGTATATATGCTAGCCGTCTATGGCTACTGAAGTACTGTATTGTAGCTGATACCTTGTATATATGCTAGCCGTCTATGGCTTAGCTGTATCACTGTACTGTAGCTAATACATTGTATGCTAAATATTAAACTATATATAGCTAAATGTCTGTGGCATAGCAGAATTGTAGCTAAAACTGTATATGCTAGCTATATATAAAGCTAGCCGTCCATGGCTACTGAAGTTCTTTATGTTGTATACATTGTATTATTATCTCCTGTTTGATCTGCAAAATTCCATTCACTGCACCTTATTATACTGTACTCATAACTGTGTTTGTTTTTGTGAAGAGCGTGGGCGATGTTGAGGTGTAATAGGGATTTGTATCCGTGTAGTCGGCCCGCCACCGGTATGTGAAAGAGCAGTTGTTGTTAGGATGCTGTAACCTTTCTGAACTGGAGGCATTGCTTGGTTATCGTACTTGTCATAATAACGATGAAGAGGCAGCCTGTCGGTCTCGGCTACCGTCACTCCTCCTTCACTATTGAGGAATGAGACCACTGATCATCAGATGATTTCCTGTGTCGGAGGTTATAATATTCAAAATTTAGGACAAGTTGAAAAAAGACATCAAATGTAGCTGTGTACATGTGATTCTCACCTATTTAAAATTTGCAATATTGAGATTTTGTATTTCTGTACACTTCCTGACAATAAACTACCAATAACAAAGCCTTGATTTGATGCTAGATTTTATCTCCTAAAATAATAACTTCCTACTTTACACACAGGAAACATTTTCTTCTGGTTATATATATTATATAGGTTATATTGAGACTCCATTGCGCATCATTAAGATTTGTTACAAAGCTTTGGCTGTGAACAGTGATAGTGTTGAACTGATTCTGGGACACTGTTTGAGTAACCTATTAGTCATTCAACTTCTTGCTCTATTGCCAACCCGTTCATTATAGCTTATATATTCCTGTACTATATCATCCATGGTGGAACTATTTTACAATCAATGATGAATGCTGATGTGTTTGACTATTAAGGGTCCATGCTAGCTGGTGGTATTGACAGTTGTCTCCCATGACGATCCTCGGTACACATACCTTCATACTGTACCTGCAGTGTATTAGAGTTATCTCCCTTCAGAATTCATGGTACTTGACACACTTTAGCTGTAGTCTGTACCAGAGTTATCTCCTTTCAGGATTCATGGTTCTTGACACACTTTACCTGTAGTCTGTACCAGAGTTATCTCCCTTTATTGTTCATGCTACCTGACACACCATTCCTGTAGTCTGTACCAGAGTTATCTCCCTTAAGGGTTCATGCTACATGACACACTATACCTGTAGTCTGTACCAGAGTTATCTCCCTTAAGTATTCATGCTACCTGACACACTATACCTATATAGTCTGTACAAGAGTTATATCCCTGAAGTGTTCATGCTACCTGACACCATATACATGTAGTCTGTACCAGGGTTATCTCTCTTAAGTGTACATGCTACCTGACACACTATACCTATATAGTCTGCACTAGAGTTATCTCCCTTAATTGTTCATGCTACCTGACACACTATACCTGTAGTCTCTACCAAATGTATCTCACTTAAGGATTTTATGCTACTTGACACTATACTGAACTTGTAGTCTGACTAGAGTTATCTCCCTAAAAGAATCAATTCTTTCTAGAGTTATCTCCCTTAAGAATCCATGCTAATTATAGAACACATTTTACCTGTGACTTAAATGAATACCATCTTTCTATGATGTAGAATCATTCACACAAAATGTTGATATTGTAGAATTTTTTTAACCCCAAAAATATCTCAAAAGATGGCCTATAAATTCCCATAATATACCCAACTACTAAACAATGTATGACATGTAGCATCTCAGAGTTACCTTGTGATAAAGCCAGGACACCAGGGAGAACATATTAACACATAGACATAAGGGAGACAACTTCACTGAAATTTGTGGAGGACCAGTGAGACAGGCCAATTAACTATTTCATCACTGTAGACCATAATGGACTCATCCATATCAATGCTTCGTAGAGTCTACAAAAGTTACATAGGGGTGATAGGGGTTAAGTGGGAGGGGGAGGGGAACTGGCATGTACCACAGGAGCTTATACAAGCATATTGATGTTTTCATTGTTGTAGTGCTAAGCTATAGGATGTCGGGTTCTTTGAATTCATGCAAGCACAATATCTGGGGTTAGCTTTTCTACAACTCAAAGTTACGTTCTACTTAAAATGAAACATTTTGTTCATAATTAACATCACATTTTTACCAAATATCTTCATCATTTATCATTGTATTCCAAAGGGGTTGAGTTCGCTTACATAAACCTAGTTGAAGCTGTCGTTTTGCTGAAGTTGCTGAACTAACCAGACCTGGTCTAGTGTATTAAAGCTGTACTGGCCCTCTGCCATCTACATAGGTACATTGGGTTTATATACATACAAGGCTGCTGACTTCTGATTGGGGCACACACAGGGGGCATTTAACTGATGGGTTTATTTACAAACTTCTGAAGGGGGCACACAATGGGGGTATTTAACTGCTGGGTTTTATATATATATATATATATATATATACAGACTACAGATTGGGGCATTAAAAGGGTACATTTCACTGCTTGGTTAATATACAGACTTCTGATGGAGGGACACAAAGGGGGTATTTAACTGCTAGGTTTATATATAAATATACAGACTTCTGATGAAGGGACACTAAGGGGGGCATTTAACTGCTGGGTTTATATACAGACTTGTGATGGGAGACACACAAAGGGGGCATTTAACTGCTAGGTTTATATATATATAGAGACTTCTGATGGAGGGACACAAAGGGGGCATTTAACTGCTAGGTTTATATATACAGACTTCTGATGGAGGGACACAAAGGGAGCATTTAACTGCTTTGTTTATATAAAGACTTCTGATGGAGGGACACGCAGGGGGCATTTAACTGCTTTGTTTATATACAGACTTCTGATGGAGGGACACAAAGGGGGCATTTAACTGCTTTGTTTATATACAGACTTCTGATGGAAGGACACAAAGGGGGCATTTAATTGCTGGGTTTATTTACAGACTTGTGATGGGAGACACACAAAGGGGGTTTTATTCACTGGAATGATCGACTCATGGTCCTGACAAAGTGTTCTTATTTTTTGGGTCGATCAGAATTCCAATATGGCTGACAAGGCCGCCGTTTTGAAAAACTATTTCAAACTTAAAGTGAAGTTCTACTTGGCCAATTAAACTGAAACTTGGTAGGAATGATTGACTCATGGTCCTGACAAAGCTACAGCCGCCATTTTGAAAAAGGCAATTTCAAACTTAAAGTCAAGTTATAATGGGCTGATTAAATTGAAACTTTGTTGGAATGATCGACTCATGGTCCTGACGAAGAGTTGTTATTTTTCGGGTCGATCAGAAATCCAATTTAACTGCCACGGCCGCCATTTTGAAAATAACTATTTCAAACTTAAACCAAGTTCTAATAGGCCGATTTAACTGAAACTCAATCTAGGAATAATCAGCTCAAAGTCCTGACAAACTTAAGTTAACGTTCACGTTATACTTAACTATTTTTTACTCAAATTGGTACATACTTCAACAACAAAAATAAATACTGTAGGACTCAGGTGACCGTTAACGCCCATGGGCCTCTTGTTTACAATAGACATGGCTTGACTTCGGATAATGCATCATAATGAAGTCACATTTAATAGATATGGCCTTTGAATAGATTTTTGTTAATGACATATATACATTAACTGGATTAATTTGTTTACATTTTGTAGGTTACGAAACGTCGCTTGGGACACTCCTCCGCAACAGTCTGAATGGGTCCTAATGAAGTAGCTTGTGGAGGTCAAGAAATGAGGCCCTAGCCATGTCTCTAAGGTTAACGAGTACAAACAAAACATTGACTAATTATATATATAATTACTCCCCTTCATCATAATAGCCAAGGACAGTGATTTGGTAAACATCTTGTAACGTCCAAATCACTTGAGATCAAAATGGCTGCAGAACGACCTAAATTGACGGAGCTTGCTGATTGGTCCAATATACATGTGATCAGCGAGAATGTTGAGACGCCTGGAAGTCAGAGTATCGGGCAGCAGTCGTCTGTGAGCGGGTACTCTGTGAGCAGTCGCTGTCAGTTCCTTAAGGGCAAGACGGAGAAAGACGCGTATGTAGAGGCAAAGGAACAGACCATGAGGGAGGACAAAGAACGCGGAGACCCTGAAGACCAGGAGTGCGGACTCGGACGGTGTCGGCCGTCCTGTCTTCAGTACTTTACCAACATCAAGTCGTTTGTAGTGTGTATGAGCCTACTATTGGCTACCTCCGGCACCATGTCCACGGGTTACTTCAACAGCGTCATCACGACAATAGAAAAACGATTCGAAATCGGGAGTTCTGTCTCCGGTCTTATAGCAGCCTCTTACGAGTTCGGGTCTCTAGTGACGGTCATCTTTATCAGCTATCTGGGTGGACGTCGTCATATTCCGCGGTGGATCGGTTACGGGGTTATATTCATGGGGTTTGGTGCATTGTTGATCGTGTTGCCCCATATTCTGGCGGAGAAATACACCGTCAACCAAGGCATCATGTCTAACGAAACGGACGAGAACATCTGTAAAGTGGACGACAAGAGTGGTGCGTTCGGGGACAAATGTATCAGTGAGGGATCCGGTAACGTGGGCAGTGTACTTATCCTCATCTTCGCACAGGTGCTGATCGGGACTGGTGGCACGCCTATCCTCACGCTCGGCACAACATACGTAGACGACCACGTATCAAAGGATAAAGCACCTGTCTACTTAGGTACGTGTATGATTGAGGAATATTCCAAATTATTTCGAGTATAATTGAAGAATATTCCAAATTATTTTGCGAGTTATACTGAAAATGCTAAAAAGCTGTTTGCAGTTTGCATGAATCCGCCAAGGGCTTGATGAACATAAGTACACATTTTCTATATGATTAGCTCATTCACCCCTGAAGACACATTTGAACTCTTCCAGTTCAAAGGTTGGAATAGTTCATTATGAAATTTCAGGGGTGAATGAGTTAATATCAATTTAGGAATAGCAAAAACAAGAATATAATTCATTAAAAACAGATGCTGTTTAAATATCGGATGTTATATCGTAGTCTTTGTATAAGGAACTAGAGATATATTGTAACATAAAAACTAGTCTGAGAAACTAATTAAAAGTTAATGAATTTGTAAGTCACTCTTTTTGTAACTGCAACTTTTTTGATAAAAAGTTGGTAATATAATATGATAATATAACATGGTAATATAATATGATAATATAACATGGTAATATAATATGATAATATAATGTGCCAACAAGCTACACAGACTACAAGTTCCATTGTCTCTGTTTGTCACACTACAAATTAACACGTCACAACTCGTAAATATATCTCTTTTTTTATAAGTTGCATAATACAAACAAACTCCAAGTAACATCGTTTCTTGAGGAACTAGAGGTATTAAATTTTGTTACTTGTAGTTATCATGTGAACCGGAACTATAGTAACATTGTAACTATGAGTCTATATATAGGAACTAGGCTTAAACTTGTTTACTTGTAGTTTGTATAAAGGAATTAGATATGTATACATTGCAACTCTAAATTAGAGACATTTGTGAAGTGTTAATTTGTGTGTGTGAAAAACAATAAAAAACGTGGAATTTTTATTCTGTGAAGGATATATACCAGTCATTAACTATGTTACTTATTGTTTTATATTAGGAACTAAAAACATATAATACATTGCAACTAGTAGTTTGATGAAAGATTTGTCTTTCCCTGTTTCAGCCTTCATCTATGCGTCAGGAGTGTTGGGGCCTGTCCTAGGGTACGCCCTCGGGGCGCTGCTGTTACAGTACTACGTCGACATGTTTATCTACGAGGTTGACATTTTGCCTGGCGACCCGCAGTGGATCGGCGCATGGTGGGGAGGGTTCATTATCTGTGGGGGGATATTCTTTACCTTGTCAATTCCGTTCATGGCCTTTCCCAAGGTCCTGGTGAAGGAGAAGCGTAAATTACTGGAACTCAAAGCCAAAGAGGATCTGCTGAGCCAAGATGATCTGCAGTCTCGACACAGTGATGACTACGGCAAAACCATCAAAGGTAAACATATACACCTGCTGTACGGTAGTAAATCATTGAAGGTTTATTCAGGTTACTATGTAAGAAATAATTGGACCATTATTTATTCATTCAGTTTACACCATTTGAGGAAAAATAACTGAATGAAATGCCAAGTACTCAAATTGAAATTCTTAATTGATCTTTACACTATGGAATTTTATCAAAGATAAAAAAAAAGCGTAGCAATAAAAAGTCTCACCTATTGCGTCCTCTGCCAATATATCTTTTCTCGGGTCGATAAATCCATTGATAGTGGAAAATGTTAATGTTAATTAGAAAAAAATCAATATTAAATGAAATATTTAAAGACCTCAGACATTATGTTTTAGTGCTAATGTCTGAACAATTCTACTATATTTTAGATGTTTTTCTAAATTTACATGCTTTTAACAAATAGCAAGAAAATTGTTGATTTTAACTTAAACAAATAATAATTTCTTCAAGTAAGGGACTTACTTACCATGATGGCACTGTCTAATTTTTCAAATCTAAGGGAAGTAACTCTTGCATCTAATGATAAGGTAACATTTTGTAAATTGTCTTGATTTTCAGAAAGTAATAATCACCAGTATGAGTATATTGGTAAAGGGGCCGCGTATGAGGTAAAACGTAAGGACGATATTTCTTCACTAATATGCATTTCTCACTGGTTGAATGTCTGGTGCACGCGTTTTGGTGGGGTAGTTCATCTTCATTATCTCAATAGTTTCTAAAGTATAAAAAAATCAGGGTGAAAAATTGAGTAGTCAATATCATCATGCAAAATAGAAGATTTGATAAGTTGACATATTTGGAAGTTTTAACTTCCATTGTTAGAACCTAGAAATTGTGTGTAGCAACATGATCCATTTATACTGTTATTTTAACTCGTTTACCCCTGAAATTTCATGAGGGACTATACCAACCTTTTGAATTGGAACAGTTCATTTGTGTCTTCAGGGGTGAATAAGTCAAAACAGTCAATATGTGTAAATGCACACTTACTTACTATGGAAAAACATAAGTGCATTCCCCAAAACAGATGGGCCGTTTTCGTTTAAACGGTCAAACCGGTCGGACCACTGTTGTTCGTTTATTAAATAAGGTCGGACCTAGTAATCTGATGCTGCTTTCAGGCGAGCCTTGAGAAAGCCTTACAAGGCCTGCATACACATTTGCAGGTCCGCCAGGTTTTATATCCAAAATTGTTACATTTATAAACGGTCAAACCGGTTGTTCCGCATAAACGAACAGGCCCTTAGTGTACACAGCTGGCTATCATTGGGTCAAGGGGAGACAAATCTTGTAACACTGCACGCTGAGAGTCATGCATATGTCACACAACGACCAAAGAGCACTCACATGTGGACATTGATGTGAATCATATACAAGCTCAAATGATTATGCAATCAACAATCATAGCTTGGTAACATAAGGTTAAAATAATTACCATATCTCATCTTACAAAGCTGTCTGCTGCAATAAGGGTGTCTCAGGGATTTGAAAATATAATGTAAATAATTTATCTTGCCACCTTGCAGCAGGAGGCACGGTAGTCTAGTGGTAATACGCCGGTCTCGTGACCGAAGGGTTGTGGGTTCGAGTCACGGCACGGCACTGTGTTGTATCTTTGAGCAAGATACTTTACTCTGTTTGTTCCAGTCTACTCAGCTGTAAATGAGTATGTGGTTGAATTGGGCAGTGCTAGAATTGTAGAGTGCTAGCTGTGAGCGCCGAAATTGCAGCACTGGCTGTATGCTCCCCAGGGATTTGAGAAAGATATTGGCTGGTTGCAAAGGCCCTATAACCACGGATAATAATTTGTGAACTTCTTTGAGACGACCTACCAACTAGGTTGAGATAAAGCGGTATATAAGAACCTCGAATTATTAATTACAATCTGTGTTATTATTTGATTTAATAAACTCTAGGTTTGTGTTTTTTGTCGGTTTCATAATTTCATGAAGTTGTCCTGTAGGTATTGTTAGTCGAACAATATCCCCCCAAAAAAATGGTGCTATGCACAATTATACAAGTTCATATTTAATGATAACAAAACGGCAGTGGGTATAAGCATGAAGCCAAGCTCTAATTTAAACCCGAGACTTTCTAGTATACATACATATCAAAAGACTGATAAAAAAGACGTGATATAAAATTCCAAAGATAAAAGAGCGGTGTAAATGTGTGGGTTACATATACAGAAATTTACACATGTAATCATTCATTTGTTTAGATAATTTTGTTATCGTTAGTAGAACATGTATGTGTGAGGGTAATTAAGGTATTTGGATAATCAATATTATGAAAAGTTCTTTTTTACATAACAAATGAAATTGTATTGGTTGTGTAAAAAAAGAACTTTTCCTAATCCATATACTTACCGACCTGAAGAAAATGTTTAAAAATAGGATAATCAATATGTGCTCAGGAAGTATATGATTACAGCATTAGGCATATATATATCCTTCCTTGTAAATTTCCCACACATGTAAAATTCACACAGCATATCAGCAGTGGTAATGGTCATAAGACATTTTAGTCATACATTTAATACCAAATATACTATAATTGACATTTTACTGGTGTATACATTGTATATTGGGATGCTTGCTTACAATAGTTATCTCCCCTTGGGACGTCCCATGGACCAGGTCTTAACATATTGATAATCTATATATAAATATTTATCACGTACTAAAAACTGATATCATGTACTGTAATGGCGTGGAGAGGTGATACATTTGTATACATGTACATTATATATATATAATCTTATATGTCTCACTATATATTTGGTATTGTAAAAGGGAGCTCATCCTCGGTACTCCAGGGGTAACACTCACTTCCGCTCTCTGTACTCCTGGAATACCTCATAGCAAGATTGAAGGCACACAGCTAGCTATTTGATATGTCTCTGGTGAAAAAACAGGACAAATCGCAGGCGGATACCTATCCTTTGAAGATTACAACGGAGCTACACCCGACCTCAAAGCCAGTAAATTTTAATATTATGCGACCATGATGTTCAAAAGATGTACAAGAAAAGACCAAACTAGTCTTCTTGTCTCAAGCACAAGTTGACACACACTGAGCCTTCAATTTTGCTATGACATATTCAAGGGGTGCAGAAATTTAAAGAGAAAGTGAGCTTTACCCCTGGAGTATCGTGAGCGTTGATGAATACCTTATACTGTTTTTTATCTATGTATACATTTGACATATACCAATGTACACCATGTATAACGAAATTTGTATGTAGATATTATAGGGAGAGGTGTAGCATATGTGGATGGAAAGTTAAATCAAGCAAATAACAATACATGCTATTAATTGAACTAAATTCATGTATACATGTATGTAATCATGTATCATACACCATTTGGTAAAGTTTGTGAATAATGCAATATTTCTAAATTTAAGAGATGTTTCTTGCAGAAGGAAGTTTTGATAAGCATTTCCTGTTCTGATATTGAGTCAGTTAGATTCAATGTCATCTGCATTGACCTTGTGACATCTACATTGACCTAGTGACCTCAACATTGACCTGGTGACCTCCACATTGACCTTGTGACCTCCACATTGACATTGTGACCTCTACATTGACCTAGTGACCTCTGCATTGACATAGTGACCTCATTATTGACCTTGTGACCTCTACATTGATCCCAATGCATGATATACCATGCTTAAAACCATTTCTGTTGTGATGTTTCCAATAAACATCTTTTCTTAATGACGTCATATTCATATTTAAAGTTGCGAAACTACGTATAGATTTAATTGATGAGCGACATGCTAATCTGGAAGTTGAAAGTATTTGCAATTGGCAAGCAGGTACATGGAAATAATTATTTGTGCACGCTTTCAACCAATGAAATCACTCAGCTGGATTGTGGTGCACAGGCCTAGGGCACACTCCCTCACAATTCACCTGTGGGCTTATATTTAAATCATGTAATATTCTACTTAATATGTTGAATAAATGTTTTTTAAGGAAAAGACATTTAGTATTTAGTAGTATAAGTTGATATAATAAACTTTTTGACTTGATAACACTTTCTTTCTTTACCATTATCTATTGGAAATCTGTGGGTAGCATTTTGATAAGGGGAGATAATCCACCAAATTCTGTCTATGTATCGTTATGTAATTTATTGTGTTTGGCAGACATTCCACGCTCTGTCCTTAACTTGCTGACCAACAAGATCTACCTTTATGACTTGATAACACTTTCTTTAGCTAATATCTATTGGAAATCTTAGTAGCATTTTGATAAGGGGAGATAATCCATGTATTGTTACATTTTTGTTTTATTTGACAGACATTCCACGCTCCATCCTTAACCTACTGACCAACAAGATCTACCTTATAACGTGCCTGGGGATCTGCTGTGAGATATCTATTGTCAGCGGGTTTGTTGTATTCCTTCCCAAATACCTGGAGACTCAGTTCGGGACATCTAAATCTGTCGCTAATTTATTTACAGGTAAGTATACATAAAACTCGGTAAACAAGTAAGGAACATCCAAATTTTTGGCTTATAAAGTTAGTGCAGTCATTTTTTTTCATTTTTTTTTTGTAAAAAGTTTCCTACAGGCCTTGAAAAGCGTTCTAATAAAAATGGGGTTTTAAAAAGACCTAAAATTGTGGAAAAGGCCCCATAAGCCCCTAAATTTAACAAAAATATCTCGAAAGAACCATACGGTACCTTAAATTTGACGTTTTGATGGGTTTGTGGTGTTATTCCCATGAGAAAGAATGGGGTGGGGGATGCAGGCCTCCCATTCTTTCTATATGATATATATAATTCCTATGTATTTTTTATTAATCTATTCATAACAGAGACACAGTTTGAGACTGTTTTCTGATGAATGGTATTTTAACCCTTTCACCACCGTAGACCATTATGGACTCATCCATATCACTGCATGGTAGAGTCTACTAAAGTAACAAAGGGGTGAAAGGGTTAAGAAAACTGATCAGACATACCAAATTAATGATGATACCATGCAGAATTAGTTATTGCCATGAATCAAGTTATTTATTGTGATGGTATATATATGTTGTACTGTTGAGTGTGTTGTAATGGTAATTAAGTATGTTGTTATTTTGTAGGAGGTATCGGTATACCTGGAGCCGTGGTAGGCATTCTAGTAGGCGGCTTCATCCTCAAACGGTTCCAGTTACGACCAAAAGGTAAGTCACAACTCAAACAGTGTAAGTAGACAATAGTTTACTCAAACGGTTCCAGTTACGACCAAAAGGTAAGTCACAACTCAAACAGTGTAAGTAGACAATAGTATACTCAAACGGTTCCAGTTACGACCAAAAGGTAAGTCACAACTCGAACAGTGTAAGTAAGTAGACAATTCCGTCTTTTCGTATTGCAGAGTTATCTGCTCTTGCGAGCAGGTATTGATTGTTACGTCATTAGTTTGTGCGAGAAAATTACGTCGTTTTCTCAAAAAGTTATGACGTTACTCTCACGGGCAAATGACGTAACAATCAATTCCTGCTCACAAGAGCAGATAACTCTGCAATACGAAAAGTGAACAGTATACTCAAACGTTTCCAGTTACGACCAAAAGATAGGTCACAACTCGTACAAGTGTAAGTGACCGATTGGTTATGTAACTGGACATTTATGTATTCAGATGTTTCCTATCAGTAGGTCTCAAACTGCATTGTATAAGTTAATAAACGACTTTATACTCGAACATTTTCAGTTGCAACCAAATTTCAAGGAAGGTCTTACCTCATGAAAGAAGGATTTCTCTGTAGCCCACAGGTGGTTTAAGCATAGAAATCAATTTTGAGATATAAAAAAAAAATATATCTCAATGTGAATTTAGTACGACTGTGACTTCTTGCTTTAAAATTGAAATGATTAATATAAGTCAATTTACTCTTAATCAACAAATTATTTTACTCTGTATCGGTATATAAAATGTTCCTGGGTGATCGCACGCATCGTGAGGTGTGATTGTAGGTGGGCAGTCTACAGCACTTCAACATGAATGAAATATAAATTTTGTTAATTTTTGTCTCGCCACAACGAAATGTGAGACTTGCTTTTCCGGCGACGGCGTCAACATTAAGTTTTTGTGTTTAAGTTAGTGTCTCTGAAAGTATAAATGTTACTCCAATCAAACTTGGACCATATATGCATCTTAGGTAGTATGTCCCAATCCATGCATCAAATGCTGGATGCGGCCTGCAGCATCTCCATCAACATTAAGTTTTTGCGTTGAAGTTAGTTTCTCTAAAAGTGTAAATGCTACTCCAATCAAACTTGGACCATAGATGCATGGTAGGTAGTACATCTCAACCCATGCATCAAATGCTGGATGCGGCCTACCTTTCATGGTCCGTTGACTTTGTCATCATCTCCATCAGCATTAAGTTTTTGTGTTTAAGTTGGTCTCTGATGTGTGTATTGATGGTCAAAGCGGGGCATAGGCGAGACATATCATTATCCGAATGGCTTGTTGATATCTGATATTTTTACAGGTGCAGTCCAGCTTGCCCTTGTGTTGGATATCTTGGCCTTTATAGGGTTCATATCATTCTTCGTCCTTGGCTGTGAAAACCTGAAGATTGCTGGCGCCACCTATCCCTACAGTGCTTACTACAATAGGTAAGTTCCCAGCGCCACCTATCCCTACAGTACTTACTACAATAGGTAAGTTCCCAGTGCCACCTATCTCTACAGTGCTTACTACAATAGGTAAGTTCCCAGCACCACCAATCCCTACAGTGCTTACTACAATAGGTAAGTTCCCAGCACCACCTATCCCTACAGTGCTTACTACAATAGGTAAGTTCCCAAACTCTGTCTGGTAAAGTGTGTCCTCGTTTGGTATAATCTAGAAACGTTTGTCCTTGCTCTAACTATCTAGGAAGTACTAGTAGTTAAAAAAATTAATCTTGAAATAAAATGGCAATAGCTTATTAAATGAAGTCTTTCCCACTTCAGATAATTTTCATAGAACTCTTACTATGAATGTGTTTCAATATAAGATTCTGAACCTTAACTATTTTCTTTAAAGAAAAATATCTTTGATAACTTTTAACTTGTTTCCTTGTAGTGATTTATGTTGTGGGGGTTAAATTAGCATTTATACCTTAGAAAAAATGATGTTAGAAAACGGTCAGGTTGAGAATGTCTTCTTTGGAAACTGCCTTTATTGTAGACCATGAAAGCTATATCAATGTTACAAGGTTTGTTTTCTAAGGAGACGATAATTATGGTACAATGTACTCCATAAAAAATAACTATCATATTGTAAGAAGTTTACACATATATAAATGTGTTAACACGACGTGTAATAAATATATGTAACATATGTGTGTTATTTGTAATAAATATATGTTACGTATGTGTGTTACGTGAAATAAATGTGTGTTACATGAAATAAATATATGTCACTTAATAGATCTGTGTTACGTGAAACAAATGTATGTTACGTGAACCAAATGTATGTTATGTGAAGCAGATGTATGTTATGTGAAGCAGATGTATGTTATGTGAAACAAATGTATGTTATGTGAAACAAATGTATGTTATGTGAAGCAAATGTATGTTATGTGAAACAAATGTATGTTATGTGAAGCAAATGTGTGTTATGTGAAACAAATGTGTGTTACGTGAAAATATATGTGTTACATGAAATACATGTGTGTTGTAGCTCGGAGATGGAGCAGATAAACGTAGAGACTAACCTGACGTCGTCGTGTAACATGGACTGTGCCTGTTCTAATAACGACCTAGAGCCGATCTGTGGGATCAACGGCATCACATACTTCTCCCCGTGTCACGCGGGCTGTACACGATTTTACAGCTACATCACTCCGGAGGAAAAACTTATGGTTAGTACTTCATTCCAACAGTGATATAGGCTCAATCATATGCTGTGGTTCATGCAGAAGTAAAAACTCTGAAACCGACCAAGACCTTTCATTTTTTTAGTTTAGTTTAGAGCATCAGGCTTTTAATTCATAAGCTATTTTGTTGCCAGTTCGAGTTATCCTGTGCATGCGTTGATAAATTTTTGACAATTTTCCTGACAATAACAACATCAAACTCCACATTTTTGACAATATTAAAATCAAACTCGCACATATTCACTTCTGTAATCTCTGACATTTCTTGTCTTGTAAATTTCTACAAATGCCACAGTTTGTTTACTTATTTTCCCTCATAGAGGAGGTTTATGAGGGGATTTTTTTTGTGCACAAATTCAGTCTTTGTCATTTCAGTGGAACTTATTTTTCTTACAGATTTTCTTCGAACTTCCTATATTTTGGCCTATATAAAGGGCCGCTGTGGCCAAGGGGTTAATGTGTTCTGCTACCACTAGCCCTCCACCACTGTGTCTCGGGTTCGAGACCTACATGGGACAATCGCCAGGTACTGGCTGTAGGTTAGGTGGTTTTTCTCTGGGAACTCCGACTTTCCTCCACCTCCAAAACCTGGCACGTCCTTAAATGACCATAGCTGTTAATAGGATGTAATTCACAAACAAACCAAACTAAAACTATATTTGTAGTGTGAGGACTCCTTGACCTAGGTGGGTTTTTTTCAGGTGTGAAAGGTCACTTATTATTTTTGAATATGACAATTTGGTGAGACTTTGCAATAAGCTGCATTTCTCTTCCAAACAATGTACTACAAGCTCATCCCAGAGTCATCAGTCTTTGTATACAGTTTGTTACTTCTCGAGGAGTACTACACCATAGTGTAACATGTAGGTCACTGTGACCTATATATATCCGCTTCACTGGGCTTGACTTTGATTAGATTTCACATTTAACTTCATTTCCCTTGAAATGAGAGTGGAAGTGTACATCGGTTTTTACAAACATTTCTTCTACTTTTTACAGAATCTCACAAGATGTGTTTGTGTCTTATTCTGAAATTAATTTCTGAAATATGTTTTCATTAGATCAGGTTAAGAATAAGAAAGTTTATTAACCTTTAGTAGACTCTACCATGCATTGATCTGGATGAGTCCATTATGGTCTACAGTGGTGAAAGGGTTAACTTCAGCAGTGTGCTAAACCTGAACGTGATGAAGTTTCAGTATTTCTCTCTAGTGTTTAAACCCTTCAGCCACTGTAGACCATAATGGACTCATCTAGAGTTACATAGGGGTGAAAGAGTTAGTTAGTGTAATTGTTTCTACAATTTATTCTTTGTATGTAGCCAAACCTTGATTCTTTACATTATTAAATCTATATAATATAATATCAGAGTTTTGCTTTACACACAAACAATGTACATTGCTACACATTTAATACATACATTGTTTGTGTAAAGTAAAACTTTGATATAACATGTTTCCAAACTGATGAATCTTATTGAAGATATTGTACATTTATATCTGAAATTGCACTGAATTGAAAATGAGGACTTCTTGAATTTATGAAGTTTTTGAAATTTGGGTCAGATGAGTGCAAATATGATGTGTCTTTAATACTGTTATTTTTGTTTTTCAGAATTTTAGTGGCTGTTCCTGTATAATGGATAACATCAGCATATCTCCAGAGGTGATCATGTCGCCTGTCGCCACTAAGGGCCCCTGTAAATCTACCTGCCAGAACCTCTTCCCCTTCCTCATCCTCCTGGTAGGCGTCACCTTCACAGTGGCTGGTACACAGATGCCTCTCCTCATGGTTACTCTCAGGTCGGTCCACGAAGAGGAGAGATGTTTTGCACTGGGCATGCAGTTTGTAATCTTGAGATTGTTTGGTAAGCACTGTTCGTATCTAGTGTATAATTGTTATATGTTGCATATTTGGAGCTACAAGGCTTATTGATACATCCTAAACTAGGTTCCAGATTCTCAACATATGTGCATTTATAACCCCTCGCCCCAAAAAAACAAAATCCACCTATTGAAGGGGTTATATAATATAGTAATCACATTGTGTCCGTCCTTGTATGTATCCGTCTTGAAAAGATTGCATGCACAATATCTCACGAACTTCTGAACACATATAGTTTGTATTTACACCACAGTATAGTAGATGATAAGAGGGTCAAATATCACACTTTCTGGGTTTTCTCCAATTTCCTCCCACACTAAGACCCCCCACACGCTAACATCCAGGTCAACAAAGAGTGATTAATATAAGTTGTAATAACTTGTTTCATAATTGTTGTAAAATAAAATAAGTTTTTATTTATAATCACACTTTGCCATTTTTGATGGAGGCACAGTAGTCTAGTGGTAGGACACCGGGCTCATGACCGAAGGGTTGCGGGTTTGAGACACAGCACAGCACTGTGTTGTATCATTGCGCGAGATACTTACCCTGCTTGTTCCAGTCTACTCAGCTGTATATGAGAGTGTTAGTGAGCGTAACCCATGGGGTATCCAGGATGTTATGTAACTGGCAGGGGTGCAGAGAGTGTTAGTGAGCTTAACCCATGGGGTATCCAGGATGTTAAGTAACTGGCAGGGGTGCAGAGAGTGTTAGTGAGCTTAACCCATGGGGTATCCAGGATGTTAAGTAACTGGCAGGGGTGCAGAGAGTGTTAGTGAGCTTAACCCATGGGGTATCCAGGATGTTAAGTAACTGGCAGGGGTGCAGAGAGTGTTAGTGAGCTTAACCCATGGGGTATCCAGGATGTTAAGTAACTGGCAGGGATGCTGAGAGTGTTAGTGAGCGTAACTCATGGGGTGTAGAGGATTTCATGTAACTGGCTCAGAGAATTATGTTTAGATATTAATACTCTATAACAAGAAACATTCGTGGGTATTTTAATTTACTATCTATACATTTCCAGTCATGTTTTACTTATGTTACAGCCTATATCCCCTCGCCCATCATGTTTGGTAATACAATAGACACAGCGTGCTTGCTGTGGAAGGAAAGGTGCGGGCACCATGGCTCCTGTCTCGTTTACGACATCGTCCAGTTTAGATACAAATATGTCGGTAAGTGTTATATATCTCCAACAGCAAGGTCACGATTTTGATTTAAAAATAAAGTAAAAATTGTCTCATCCCAAAACTGATGAACTTTATCCTACGCCAGTAGATAAATCTGCCCTGAAAAAAAAAAAAAGGAAATAAACTGTAGCAAAAATTTCCTGGTATACAGTACTCAAGGTGAATTGACATTAAAAGACGTATTACATACAGGATCATATAGCACAACCAGTGAAGTGTTTATGTCTGATGTTTAGATGACTAGTACAAAATGTTCTCTGTCACTTTCTTAATCAGACAAATAATGAGTTTAGTTAAGTGTATGTGAACTGAGGTGTTAATTACAAGATGGCAATTGACCCTTTCACCTCTATGTAACTTTAGTAGACTCTACCATGCATTGACCTTGATGAGTCTATTATGGTCTACAGTGGTGAATTTAAGGTTAAAATCTACAACTTGATTCTGCTATGCTATACCTAAGTGTATGAGTAATTAAAGTACAGAATGATGATCAAATTGTTTCATCCATGCTTATGGAAAGGATATGCTAAGGACATACAAGAGATAATCAAGAATTGGTCCAGAAATAACATTCTCTCACCCAGGACAGGTGTATCCACACTTCACCCTAGCACTGGTGACTACAAAATTCTGAATTTCCTTGTATTATGGTAATATTTTTATTGTAATTTACTTTATATTGTCTGTTGTTAAGTTAAATTCAGGAGGGACGGCTAAAATTACGGATGGCCAGTTATATTCAGTATTGGTTGTTTTAAATTCAGCATATATGATTGAGACAAGGGATTCCCCTTTTAATAACAATAGTATGACATCACATCAACAATACAATGACATCATGTCAACAATCCATCAACGTCGCGTCAACCCGGTATATGATACACAATGGGTGTAAAAGAGAAAAAGAATAATTTACCCTTAAGGTGAAATTGGGAATCTCAACCCTCGGGATGAGATTTCTCGGCAAAGCCTCCTGTTTGACAACTTAAGAATCTTCCCCCTCGGGATAAGATTCCGCTATTTAACTTCCAAGGGAGTGAGGAGATTCTATTATGTTACCGGTTTCCTTGTCATATTTGTTTTTCATTACAGGCATATCAGCTGGGCTGAAACTGCTGGGTGCTACCTTGTTTTTAATTGTGTGGTTTTTGATAAAGAAGCGAAATGAACAGGATTTGCAAAATACTCTCTCGGTAAGTACAAGTTGTTTTTATAATATCAATACATTGCTACTAAATACTATCATTTAATAGTTGCTTGATCACCTATTCCCCACTATTTCTGCCTTGGTAAGGGGTAATGAAAAGTTCTTTTTACACAACCAATGATATTTCTTATGCGACGTTTCGATGACTAGTACGGTATGTACACTGTCACTTTCGTCCGACAAATGACTAGTGATGAGTATGCAAACAAAGGTGTAAAATGTGTAAACGAGTTGTTCATAAAGTCGATGTCGATTTGGCTATGCTGTAAGCCTATGTACAATAGTTGTTATATATGTACCGAAGTGAATTGATTCAGCTACGCTTTCTTTAATACTTGGTCATAGATGTGCGAGAGTCTTTGAGCCCCCTCATCTCGATTTAGAACTGGCCCACTGTAGCGTATCCAGATGGCTTCCTTTATCTGCCGCTTGAGCAGATTGCTCTCTCTTTCCTATACTTTGGAGTTATCCCAGTCCCAGCCCTTGGTAGGGGGTAATGTTAACTATAAAGGAATTTCACATTTTTTGGTGTATTTGTTGTTTCAGTGGGAAATTATTCAAACTTGATTATATGGAATTCCTATCATATAATTGCAGTTTATCTTTTCTCCCATTAGGGGATAAATTTTACTTCATTGCAGTATTATTTTATCATTTTTCTTCCTAATATCATTTTGTAAAAGCCACATGTACAGGCATAAAAACATTTTTTATTATATGTACTTTTATTCTATGTAACATTGCAAAAACAAGTAACAATTATTTTTTAACTCAGGTGACTGTTAAGGCTCATAGACCTCTTGTTTTGAGACTGATTGAAAAAAAAATGAAAAAAAATTGTGATTGTCTGGCAGCCGTCTTGGATTTTGATAGTTTAATTTTGATACAATATTTCTGAAGAAGTAAATGACAGCCTACCTTTGAAAGGACAGTATCAGCAATCTATATGAAGTGTTAATCAAAAGTTACCACACAATTCATTTACTTTTAACAAGACTTATCAAGAAAAAAGAAAATATCAAACTTGCATAGAACTAATGAAGGTCTGACATTGGTGGGCACCCAAGATCCTTTATCGATGTCTTATATCGATGTTACTCATTTAGATTATCATTTTGTTATTTTTCACACAAACTAGGAAATGTATTTCAATGTTTACTGTCGTCCTCAAGCATTTGGCCTGGGTAGCAGCTGTTTTATATTAAGTTACAGTGCAAAAAAAAAAAATGACAATTTTAATCTATTTTTCAGGTTGGTGAAATGATGAGTTCTGTAAACTCCATAAACAAGATGGATATGGATTACGACCAGAGATCAAAACACCGCCGAACGTCCAGTCAAAGTAGTAATGACAACGACCACCGTCGGACTTCCAGCCTGAAGAGGAGTAGTCATGACAACATCCATCGGGGTGGGCACCGCCGTACTCATAGTCAAACGTCCAGTCGCTGTGAGAACGGCCTGCCTACACACACACAGGTCACAGTGGACCACTGTAGCAATGTCTACACACACGACCACAATCACTATAGCGACAGTGACTCGGATGCGCCAGAGTCAAGCTTCACATTAACCAGGCCATTTGAGTCAACTGTATGATTGTAATTGATGGAAAGTTTCCTGCAGAGTGTGTTTTGTTGAGTGACGTGTCCAGAGTGAAGTGTATCTACACTAACTGTGCTCTTAAAAATATATGTAAATATTTGTTGTGGAAATTGGATGTTTTTTTGTTGCAAGTGTTGTGTATATAAGTATAAGTTTATAAATATGGCATCGTCTTGCATGTGGGAGAATTAGCGTGTGTAAATATGTTAATTTATATGGTGTTTTTGCCACATGAGAAATTTTGTGCATGTGAACCTATACAATGTGTTCAATAATATTGCCACACCGATATTGAGCTATATAAGTCAGTTTATAACATGATCGTACTTAACAGGAAAACAAATTGTGATATTTGAGTTTATTTGAATTGAGATGATGTATATATATATAAATGATTAATGTTTCATATGCGATTTGTTCTATGTACGGATGATTACTTACAGTCGTGAAACAGATATAATAATTTTTGCATGTGACTTTTCATTGGGATATCAAATCATTGATTGTTTTCTGGCAAATCTGATTGAACTCATTCAACCCTGAAATGTCATAATGAACTATTCCAGCCTTTGAGTTGGAAAAGTTCAAATTTGTCTTCGGGGAAGAATGAGTTAATTGGAATATTTTGCAGCACTTTCTGCCTCATTCTTTACATAAAAAGCTGAAATTGTCATATTGAGATCTTCATTTGAGATGTTGTCTAATCATTCGTACCTTTGGCATGTAACATGCCGTTAGAAGGGAGGTGTCAGCACATCATTATTTTATGAAAAAGGAAATGATGGCGATATTCTATTTAGTTTTGCTGAGATTTACAACAAAATATTAATAAGATGAAAACAAATTTTAACTCATTCCCCCTGAAATTGTATTATGAACTATTCCAACCTTTGAATTGAAATAGTTCAAATGTGTCTTCAGGGGTGAATGAGTTTTTCCCCTAACTTATGTCTGCATATCAAGTTTAAAATTAAAATATTTATTGATTTGTTGATTTATGATACATTTAAATATTATCAAAATATATCAAGTTTACGATCTGAGCAATGAATGTGTATTTATACAAGACTATCAACCCAAGTCATATCACTAGACTAACTACGCTGATGTTTTTAGAGTTTTGTAGAATTGAGTAGCAGTTTACATTCTGATATTATCTTGCCAAAACTGATCTATTCACAGGTAAATTGTTAACGCTAATAATTACTGCTGTTTAAATCTGTTAAACCCTCTCATGTTACAGTACAATCACATTTTGAATTGTTCGTAATTTATCGGATGTTCTTTGGTTATATTATAAGCATCTTCCATTATCTTTGTTTCTAATGTAAAATTTACAAAGAAAATATAGGAAATTTCGTTTATTATTTACTGTGAAATCACTCAATTTTGTGGGTTTTTTTTTTTCAATTTCGTTGATTTCATTGGAACTCTTCATTCAGGAATTCATAGGTCCACGAAGTAATTACAAGGTTGACTGGCAGATATTCCCCGTTTGAGTGGGTACTCGTAACCCACAAATTCACGTACCAACGAAGTGGTGATTTTTAGGGAAACCAACAAAATTTGGGACCCAAAAATATATTTGATTTCACAGTATATTCTTTGGCATCGTCACTAACGTATTTACTTATAAGACAAATAACATGTTGGTTATCGTTTGAAGATAAATTCTAGTGATGTTACACGTGTGAGGGTTGTTCATAGGTCCTCTTCCATGTTTCGACATAGCTGGGTTCCTGTAATTCACAGATGTAGACAATGTTTGGAACCTATCAACATTGGGTTGGCTATGTTTGGAACCAATTAATAGGTTGGAGATGTTTGGAAACAATTAACAGGTTGGCTGTGTTTGGAACCAATGAAGATTTGGTTGGCCGTGTTTGGACGACACCATCAACAGTGGGTTGGTGGTGTTTGGATGACACCATCAACATTTGGTTGGCCGTGTTTGGACGACACCATCAACAGTGGGTTGGCCGTGTTTGGACGACACCATCAACAGTGGGTTGGTGGTGCTTGGAAGTGCATGATGGTGTTAGGAGTCGTCAGCACAGGGTGGGCAGAGTGTTTGGATCGCATTATCAACGGGTTCCCAATGTTTGGACTTGATCAGCATAGGGTTGCCCATGATTGGTGTCTGTGGCGGTGTTGGTAGTCGATCAGCAACAAGTTCGCAATGTCACCATTGACTGTAGTTTATTTCTGGGGTCTCCCTCGTGATCACAGTCCTGTTATTATCGGGGCGGTGTTTATTCAGCCTGTCGGACAATGTGGCTTTATACAAATTGTAGAATTGAACTAAATTGATATTACTATTGAGATGAGAATTGTTTACAGTACTAGTTTAAATAACATATTTATGAGATGGTTCTAGTCAGCTTGGTGCCATATTATTGTGTGGGATAAATCACATAATTTATCTGCTTTCAAACTGTTAACATAAAGGTGCTTGTTTAAAAAATGTCAGTAAGATTAATAGTGTAGAAGACTTCATTGAGAAATTTTATAATATAATTTGTTCCCGTTACAATTGTAGTAGATTTAGGCCTAAGTTGTATCTCCTGTTCTTCGTGGATATTCAACAGAATACTCAGTGATTTTTCAATAGAATCTCACATTCTATATCTTGTTTTGATTGACTCGGTGAGTTATTTTACTATCCAATTCAATGCAGTAAAAAAAAGTGCAAAAATCAGTTTCCCTTAAGTGTGACATTCTGTATGAGAATCTAGGCCTGCGAACCTTCAGATTTATTGTTCGGGAGAAATTGCATGACAAAACCTTATAAGATGTCTAAGAATTACTTCTGTAGCGAAACTGGACTGGGAGTATATACATTCAGACTGTCCACCTAGAGTTTGGAGTGTCCCGGGACGGGATACACCTATAATATAACTGTTCTTTAAAACAAAGAGTGTAAATCTATTTTTAATTGTCCCTTCTTCATAGTGTTTGTTTAATATTTTTTTTATTTTTTTTATTCAGCATTATTTATAATCTAATTTGTCTGGTCTTTGTATAGATGTTTTTCTTTCATCTTGAGTCAATCTTGCCAAAAAATATTATGGTGCTTGATTTGAACAGTGCTTCTTATATTTAATGGATATTCATTTTCGAAATTGATTTGTTGAAACAAAAATTGAATAATTTGAAGGAAGAACACTGAGTACTAATTGTACATTGTAGTCTGGAATTTTTATATTAAAATCAAAATGTAATTCACGCAAAAAATACTATTAGGGATAGTCTCACTTTAATGCCAAAACACTTCACAACAAAATATACTGATTTACCTGTTGGTACTCCACAAGAAAATATACTGATTTACTTGTTGCTACGCTCAGTTAGATTGTTGGAGTAATGTCTTGATCAAATATAGTCCAGGTGCTCATAATGTTATTTCTAGTCTAGCTGTTGGTTTCAGCATTGACACTTTTTGTCTAAGAAGTTTATTAACCATTTCACCACTGTAGACCATAATGGACTCACCCAGATCAATGTATGGTAGAGTCTACTAAAGTTACATAAGGGTGAAAGGGCTAAGAACCAGGTGCTTTGTTATGCTTAGATATCTGCAGAGGATCTATCAAAATACTACTACTAATTGTGTTCATTGTTTTTTACGCTGCCAAAACATTTCTCTAAAACTGTTGTTTCAGGTAACCATTATATGACTGGTATTCCTCATATGTATACCAAGTAAAAAAACAAACCATGAAGGCTATTCCATTATAACATCCATCCTACTCTCGCAATCCAAATTTCATAAGGGTACCAATTTTAAAATTTGAAGTATAATTTTCATTTGATAGGATTTAACTGGATATTAGTGGACGCAGGCATAGCTGCCTCGATGCCCACATCAATATAGTTTGAAATACATTGTGGTAAACATAAAATAAGCCTATATATAAGGCGCTGTATCCAGAATTCGTCCAAGTTTTTCTCAAAGTTCATTTGTTCAGTTGATTGGTATTCCAACTTTGTGTATTGCAGAGTTATCTTCTCTTGTGAGCAGGTATTGATTGTTACGTCATTGGTTTGTGTGAGAAAATTACATTTTTTTTTTTTTTAAATTGATGACGTTACTCTCACAAACAAATGATGTAACAATCAATACCTGCTCACAAGAGAAGATAACTCTGCAATACGCGAAGACAAATATAGGCAGGCTGAGAATGACAGGAAAGGAAAAAAACATATACAGAATTGTTATCAAGGTTAATCAATGTTCCAGTCTTTCATTAATTTAACTCATCCCCCCCCCCCCCCCCCCCCCCTTACATTTATAAACTGGACTTACCCAGTCTTTGATTTGGTAAGGTTCAAATGTGACCTTAGGGGTGAATGGGTTAAATATATATATTGTTGTTGTGAGAGTGTGTATTTGTTCTGGCTCTAGAATTGTAAGAATGAGTTTATAAATCCAAGACACCTTACGTGCTTCTATTTTAAAGTCAATAAGTTTTGTGGAGTTGTCTCGTTAGTAAATTAGTCCATGACTAATTAATTTATTCCATAACAGGCTATGTCTCTGTTGAATTATTCAGCGAAATCCCTTCTGTATGTCTACATACTGTTCTACATTTTCTAGCATGATACTTTACTGTAAGGGGCAAAAGCTAAGCTATTAATTAGTGCAACTGAATAGCCTTGCTACATCAAAGGTCTTTTGGGGCATTATTGGTAATTTTGGGCCTCATAAAATTAAAAACAGATAATCACTTTGAGTTTATGTACAAGTTTCTGTTATAAACATCATATTGATTAATTGGGGCTATGTTTCTTTGGTGCAGATTTTCTTCAATGGCAAGCCTAGATGCCCTTCCATAGCAACAAAATTGTGTTGCTATGCAGAACTACACAAATTAGTCTTTTTTTTTTGGCAGTTAGCTATCAGAAATGAAAGCCTCTGCATGTTACAAACAGAATTTCCTTTCTACTAATGAACACTGGTATGATCATGTTTAAGCATGTTTTAATATTTATTTATTCGGTGTGATTAATTTGCTTTCATCTTGGCCAATTTTCAACGTAAATAGTGCATAACAAACAATATTCATGCATTTCACTATAAAAAATGCAGATTTATACCTCAAAATTCGTTTTTGTGTGTACGTCATTTTTTCAAGAATACAAATATAAGAACTAATTCTAAATCCCTTATCAGGCCTGAAATGCTCCTTAATGCCCAGAGTCCTTTGTTGTATACCTGAACCACTGGGTTGATAGAAGTCTAGGCAGACATAGATTTTAAATGATTGTAGCCCTTTTATAACTAATTGTCCACTTGTCTGTATAATGTAATAAGATCTAAATCTATCGAGCTGTGTCTTCTTGTCAACTCCAGATCTTACAGGAATTTTGTCTTATTAACAATTTGTGATCGTTGGGAGATCTTGCCCTACACTTCGGGCTGGGGTGGGGTTGTGTTGTGTATATAATGCATAGTTAACTCATTTACCCCTGAAGACGCATTTGAACTCTTCCAATTCAGAGATTGGAATAGTTCATTATGCAATTTCAGGGGTGAATGAGCTAAATATTAAGTTATCGTTAACAATTGGTTTCTCATGTTTTTCTCATAAATATTTGGATCATTTTCAACCATGCATCATATACTTGTCCAATATAGACATATTGTTAATGGTCATTACAGTGTGCTGGGTGTTGTAAATTGGTGTTGTAGACTGCAGAAAAAACAGGCTTCAATTGGTCGATCAAACATTCTTCGAGATTTGAAAAAATTGTATGTCACAAAATTCAAGTGCATTTATAAATTTTGTCAGATGGTCTGTGGAAGCAGAGTAACAATGTGACGTCAGTGTTTTGTCACTATGCTGGCTCAGATACCTATAGATATGTGTCGGTGTTTAAAAAGTATATTTTTGTCATGAAAAAAACCAAGGTTAAAATATTATGTCGATGAAACAAATTATAAAATATGTTTACATGAATTTGTGAAAGACTTCAGATTGAAAGTTTTGGTTGATTTGTAGGTTTTCAGAAGGGAAGTTAAGGAGAATTATATTTGATAAGTTTACTCATTCACCCCTGAAATTTCATAATGAGCTATTCCAACCTTTGAGTTGGAGGAGTTTGAGTTTGTCTTCAGGGGTGAATGAGTTAATAACTGTTGGTACTAGACTTCTAGGGTAGGGAGGTGTTATTTTACACTACACAATGTATATATATTTAACTGTCATTTGTAGGGTTGTCACAATAGGCCAAGAAAGTATCACGATATATTGCAATACAGAATGAATATATTGCGATACGTATCCCGATATATTGTCATAGGAAAGATGTGTTGAATTTTAGAATAAGTTCTAGTCAGAATGTTATCAAACTTATTCATATATAATGTGGATTACATAGATTTCGGATTTTTGTCGAACCAACCCTCGATTACAATATTTGAACTATTAAAAGCCTGTTTTATGCTTCTTGGCATATATGTTAGAATTTGAAGTAATTTGCAAAGTTAAAACACCAAGCAGATACATAAAAATAAGTTTAAAAAAAAAAAATTGCAATACAGCAATATTTCATATCTGTATTGTGGTACAATACGATATACCCATGTATTGGGATATACCTGTTTTCCAGTATATTGTGACAGCCCTAGTCCAAAAGTAATGAAATGTCGGCGTGAAATGATACCCTGATTATTTCTCCACCTCCTTACCAAAAGAGGTCTTTGCTTTTTGTTATGAGTTTGTATGGAGTCACGATTGTAATTTGAATTGGTCCCGTATATATTTGATGACCTAATTGATTTCAGGTGAACGATATTGAAATGAAACGGGAAAAGATTGGATACAAAATATAAAAAAAAAGCTCTAGTGGAAACTATTGAAAATGCTGATTTATTTTTAAAGAGAATAACAAAATAAATGCTGACTGAATTCAGGTCAAAAGTATGCTTAACAATTACAAGTAGAAAAAAAGCTATATTTTCTTGATGTAGAAAACATATAATTGTGATGCTGAACATCTACAAGTAGAAAAAAATGCTGAACATTTTTATGTAGAAAATATATAATGCTGAACAATAACAAGAAGAAAAATAAGCTGATTTTTTATGTAGAACATACAAAAACATGCTGACTACTGGAAATAGTTTGAGGTAAAAAATAGAGAAACTGCTGGATAAAGAATTAGGAAGAAGTACCAGATAAGCTCATTTTAAGTAAAATAATATGTAACCAAATATCCTCACTAATTTCTAGTATATATACACTTTTTTAAAATGCTGAATTAATTTAGAAATGTCAGAATTGCTGACTAATTGAGGTTAAAAAATGTCATGTTCGCTGATTTGTTATAAATTTGAGTTGGTAATACATGTACATGTAGTGTAAAGACTTGTGTAATTTGGGATTTTTTTTTGTGTTTTTGATGGGGAAAAAATGATGTGCAAAATAGATAAGTGGAAGGTTTTTTTCTTAGTATTTTCAGCCCTAAAATGCACCTGCGCAAATTTACACGGGTTTTTACGGTATATGAGAAAACTTAGGAATTCAAACCCTTTTATTCAGCCAATGTGCTCAAATTATTTCATGTACATAAAAAAGTACATGAAACAATTTGAGCACATGGGCTGAATAAAAGGGTTTGACATCAATCACAATTTGACAACTAATGTATTTAATGACATAAAGACACGTTGGTGAAATTAGAAATATTCATACCTGCTACAGCATTGTTGTCAGTGAAATGTGTTTCAAGCATGAAAGATGTCCAGAAGTAGATTCCTTCGGACTTCATGCTGACTTCTTGTTGGTGAATTTGTTTTTGAATCAATAAGCTTCTTTCCACTTAAAAAGTTAGACCTGAGTATGGCTAATGCTGTTTAACTCATTCTCCCATGAAGACACATTTGCACTCTTCCAATTCAAAGGTTGGAATAGTTCATTATGAAATTTCAGGGGTGAATGAGTTATTGCCCATTTATCTGTGAAACTAGTAAGTAGCCTTGCTCAAGTCTAAAGATGGTTTTACAGAGGCATATAGGCCTATTGTTTCCAGCAGCTGTGAGGACAATTATGGTTGTAAAATTATAAATTTGAGTTGATGGTAAAGTTGTTATTTGATATGATGATTCATGTGAAACTTTCATGTTTATAAATAGATTACATACCTGTCCATTTTGTACATCGTCCAATATGCTGTATGTATATACAGAGAAAAAGATTGTTGGGTTTATTGTGTATATCTAATTCACAGGGGAGTATTATAATTTATATCTGAACAAGTAAGTGTCTGCTTAGTATTAGTATGTATATAGATCATTACAAGTTTTATATTCTGTTTCTCCCATCGCAAACACAACAAATTTGGTATTATGTTTCTCACATCACCCATACAAGTTTGATATTATGTTTTTCACATCACTGGTATAACATGTTTGATATTCTGTTCCTCCCATCACCCACAAAAGTTTGATATTATGTTTATCACATCACCCAAACAAGTTTGATATTATGTTTCTCACATCACTGGTATAACATGTTTGATATTCTGTTCCTCCCATCACCCACAAAAGTTTGATATTATGTTTCTCACATCACTGGCATACCAGGTTTGATATTCTGTTCCTCCCAGCACCTAAAAAGTTTGATATTATGTTTCTCGAATCACTCATACAACAAGTTAGATATAATGTTCCTTTCCATCACCAACACAACAAGTTTGATATTATGTGTCTCGCACAACAAGTTAGATATTCTGTTCCTCCCATCACCCACACAAGCAAGTGTGATATTCATTTTTTTCGAATCACTGGCATAAGAAGTTAAATATTCTGTTCCTCCCATCACCCACACAAGCAAGTGTGTTATTAAGTTTTTCGAATCACTCGCATAAGAAGTTAAATATTCTGTTCCTCCCATCATCCACACAAGCAAGTGTGATATTCTGTTTTTCGAATCCTCACATAAGAAGTTAAATATTCTGTTCCTCCCATCACCCACACAAGCAAGTGTGATGTTCTGTTTTTTCGAATCACTAGCATAAGAAGTTAAATATTGTG